AATATTTTATATTAAACCAAAATTGCTTCTTTATAAGTAATTCAGAAATTTATTATTGGTAATAGTACATACGTTTTAATCAACAAACCAGAGTCACAGAAGCGAGCATACTTGTTCATCATCATAATAGTGCTATCTACTTCGTTCTGAACAATTAATACTTAAATAATTTCTAAACTCAAAATCACTATTCATGCAAAGACAACAATATTCGAAACACCCTGCTTGTATTTTTTTTAATTAATAATGTACGCATAACAAAATTAATTATGGAATTAAAACTAACCCAGAGAATATTATTTAGATCATAATGCCTTGGTGGCTTTTTATACGGCTACAGGGACACCATTTTTTGTAAATTAGTCACTCCGATCCTTTTCACTTTCTCTTAGATCATAATATAATGTCTTGGTAGTCTTATATATCACAGAAACATCATTTTAGTCATTCTCACTTCTTCTAATTGCACTTAACTCTCTATTATTAATTCCCAACCTGAGATTCCTTTGTTTCACTAGAAGTAAAAAATTTTCCTCTTGAAAACAAAATAAAAAAATAATTTAATTTTGTGACATAACAACAATATCCATGCTTAATACAAAAATATGTATACCAGACGGAACTTGTGAAATTGTGGCTTCTGTAATATTTTTTAAGAGAATGTATTTGCATCATTTCTTGCAAAAAAAAAAAACATGAATCTACATACCACAATAATACCACCCTCTAATAGGAATTGTCCTCTGTTTAGGTATAACATGCTAAACAAACTATATATATTAATATCGACAGAAAGTTGATTATAAAAAGTTTACCTTTTGAGAATCAAAATTCGCAATTTTTAAAAAAAGTTCATTATAGAGAGTGCTCATTATAAAAAGGTTCATTATATCCAGAGTTGACAAGTTCGTTCATAATCTATACGTACGTATAAAAATCTGGGATGTTGATCATTCACATGAAATTTTTTGTGTGACAAAATCGGGTGACTGTTATCTGTTATAGATCATGATATTACGACGCGTAAACTACGTAAACCACTTTTAGAGATTATTGGATTAGACCAAAATGTCAGCTACAACTAATTCAAATAACAATGTAAAGATAACAGGAATTAAGTTCACAGAGATTAATTTTAACTATGAGGAATTACAGCAAAAACTCAAATCGTTTGAAGATATAAAGATTTACGCAGATAATGTGAAAAAAAATTTGACAATAAAAAAACAACAATGGCAAAATAATATTGCTTCAGAAAAAAGTATATTCAGAAAATTTATTAGTTATATATTTTTTTCTTTGAAAAATAATGTAATCATAAATACATCATATTTTATTAATAGGTAGCATAACGCGTCATAATGAAGAAATCAAATCGTTTGAGAAAAAACAAAAGAGTTTAATTGCAAGTAAGAACATATTAACTTGTAATATTAAATAATATGTCGAAATATGATTTTAATATTATAATTGGTTTTTTTGTTCACTTTATGTTTTAAAGCTTTAGACAGGGAAAAAAAAGAAATTCAAAAATTGCAATCAGAAGTCTCAAATCTAAAAAATGATGAAAATGTGATGAACGAACGTAAAAATTTTTTGGTGATGCAAATAGATACCATGAAAAAAGAAATTCAAAAACAACGCGATTGTAAAAAACTTTTAAAAAAAATTGAATACCGGTAATTGTTATTTTAAAAATTAAATATATTTGATTTTTCTGAGTAATTTTTTTATAATAGCCATGGTAGCGAAGCAAATGTCACTAGAAACACAACTCTCAAAAAATGAACCGGAATTAAAACAGTTTACCGATAAACTAGCTTTTACAATGGAAGGAGTGCGAGGTATAATGTTTTATATATAAAGTTAAAGTTAACCACACTTATTTATATTATTATTATATTGGTTACAGAGGACGTGATTATTTTCACATTCACTTGTATCTATGAGAATGATTCGTCGCAACCGTGTTCATTCACTCTTGAAGTTGGAAATCCGATTTACAAAGGTTTGAAAAATACATAGAATAAATATTAAAAATTTTATTGTAATCGTACTTAATAAATATTTCATATTCAACAGTGCTTGAATGTAATCCTGCGATAGATCAAGTAGAAGAGTTGGTTTCGGAGTTAAATAATTCACGTAATTTTTATACATTTGTGAAGAGAATGAGGCAGGCCTTCCGTAAACAAGTAGGGTTGCGACCCGCTGGCCGGGTCTGATTTAAAATTTCATGTTATGAAAACCAAGTAATTAAGTTTGTATGGCCTAAGAGTGATTTTGAGGGTATATTAAATAAAAGTGATATGTTAGGTCTAATAGTTATATTGTAACACAATAAGTAATGATAATATTATGCTTATGTATTACATATTACATATTTATATTTAGCATTATGGAAAATACATCATTATGAGTTTTTATTATCAATTTCATTATAAAACTGGATCTAATTCTTTAAGAAATTGATTAAAAATAAAAAATTTTTTTTGTCTTATTGCCTTTTTTTGCTGCGGAGTGGGAGTCTATATTAGATAAGAGTAGGCAATTTAGTGAGGTTTTAATTTCCAAGTACTATTTGATACATCAATACATTTAGATGCATTGTTGTACGTTTTGGATATTCTAAGTCTTTTTTGAAATGTTTTATTATAAACTATAAAGTAGATTAATAATGCAAAATAGTTATTTTTGATACTTCTGCATTTACTTTTTTGATACACTCAAATATAACTTAAAATCTTTATACTTATAAAATTTGATATGCTAGTTAATCAGATTGTTTATTTGTTTACTAAATTATTAGTATATTGTTAAACAAATATTTTTTTTATTATTATTAAGGCTGCCTTCTTAGCCAATTAGATTTTATTAATTTGTTATTACAGAGTTACTGAAATAGTAATCTTCTAAGGTTTTATAATTATATGATAAGTGTATAACAAATTATATATATAATTTTAGTTATTATCTTATTTAAGTAGTCTGTTATACAGATAATCGACTATCTGTTATTTTTACACTATGTTATTATACTTGCAATTTGCTTGTGAGTTATTTATTTAAATACTTTAATTATTAACCCTTCCTTCTACTACATTTAACTGCTTAAGCTAGCTAACTTGTCTATAGATCTATTTACTACATAACTTAGATTTTCTTAAGATATATTTGCTCAACATATTATAAACTGCAAAGCTTTAATTAATCTTAAAAGTGAATCTTACTGAAGTAGTCATATATTTATTTTACAGATTTATTTGAATTATACTTTTGTTAATATTTGTACGAACCTAGTTCTTACTATAGTTCTCTACTAAATTAGTCTTCTAAAATTCTAGTTAAATATTTCACAAAGTAGATCTTCTCAATTTAGTTAGCTATTAAGTCAAGTTGATATTGTTACTAATGCAAGATATTAGACTAAGTTATATAGCAGACTTACTTACATTTACTCAATCTGCATCTTTTATATACAGATTTCTTTACTAGATTAAATATTAACTAGTATAACTATTAAAATTTATACTACCTTATCAAACTTAAGATTTTTACTATGCAGATCCTCTGCTTGTAGATTCTATTAAGATTTATTTATACAATATAACTCAAATATTGCATCATATTTCTAATATTTAATTGACATTAGTGCAATATAATTTATAGGATTGTAACTCTAGAAATGAATAGAGTTTACTATAAGTTGAATACAAAGATTTGAATAATTATTCAAATTTATTAACAGTAGAATTTAAATTCTAGACTTTTTGTATAGTAGTCTAGTAATCTAAGTTAAACAAATATTTTAAAATTTTGATTAAAGATATTTAGTAATTATTTAATTAAATTTAATAAATTTTTTTTGTTTAAATTTTATAGATTTTAATATTTCAAATAAAAATTTTTTTTATAAAATTAGTTAGATAATTAAAATATTTTTAATATATATATTATATATATATTTTTTTTAATTTTTTTTTTTTTTTTTGTTATTAAGGTGGCTTACATTGCCGAAGGAATTTTATTAGAATTGCATACGGGATA